ATCGTGACATTACTTAGATTTGGCCTAAATTAACATGAAAACGTAACATTACTTAGATTTGCGCTAGATTAACATGGGCTCGTGACATTACTTAGATTTGGCCTAGATTATCATGAGAACGTAACTTTATTTAGATTTGGCATCAACTAACATGAGGACATGACATTATTTAGATTTGGCCTAGATTATTATGAGGACTCGACACGATTTGGTCTAGATTAACATGAGAACGTGACATTATTTAGATTTGACATCAACTAACATGAGGACGTGACATTACTTAGATTTGGCCATATTTTCATGAGGACGTGAGTTTATTTAGATTTGGCATCAACTAGCACGAGGACGTGACATTATTTAGATTTGGCCTAGATTATCATGAGGACGTGAAACGATTTGGCCTAAATTAACATGAGAACGTGACATGATTTAGATTTGGCCTGGATTTTCGTGAGAACGTGACATTATTTAGATTTGGCCTAGATTATCATGAGGACGTGACATTTTTTAGATTTGGTCTAGATTATCATGAGAACGTGACATTACTTAGATTTATTTGGCCTAGATTATCATCAGGACGAGACATCGATAAAGCCTTAAGAACACCTGGTTTTATTTACCTTAGATTTTATTTTTTCAGCAGTCTCTTTGTAAACCTTTTGTTTCTTCATATGTTGCCATCGTTTTATCGTCATTCAATTCTAATTATAGTTTTGTCCTCATTTCGGTATTGTTTCATCAAAGGAGGATGTAATTACATATTTGTTAATCGCAGACATACGATCTGTTACATTGACATTAAAAACGAAGTAAACAAAAAGCACGATATTGACCTGATTGCTATCATACAATAGTGAAATATATCGTTTAAAGATTCCTCATTATTCATATCAAATGAAAGGTCACAGATGTGCGTGCATCACATTACGAATGAAAAACAAAACCTGTATACCTATCTAGATGTGGGTTAGTTTTACCTATCAATTTGTTACCATCACTCGTGGTTTTTTGCTGATTTATTCACTTTAATGTGTATTATACTGAGAATGACACTCGTGTTACGTAATTCAATGTTTTACTAGATAGAATGGCATTTTTATATTTGCATGTTGCTTATTGTATTGTTTCATCAAAGGAGGATGTAATTACATATTTGTTAATCGCGGACATACAATCTGTTACATTGACATTAAAAACGAAATAAACAAAAAGCATGATATTGACCTGATTGCTATCATACAATAGTGAAATATGTCGTTTAAAGATTCCTCATTATTCATATCAAATGAAAGGTCAGAAATGTGCGTGCATCACATTACGAATATATCAGGTTTGTTTGCCACTGTTTGAAAAACAAAACCTGTATACCTATCTAGATGTGGGTTAGTTTTACATATCAATTTGTTACCATCACTCGTGGTTTTTTTGCTGATTTAATCACTTTAATGTGTATTATACTGAGAATGACACTCGTGTTACATAATTCAATGTTTTACTAGATAGAATGGCATTTTTTATATTTGCATGTTGCTTATGATACGCTGAAATGCAAGATTTTGAATGAAAAAGTGACAGGCGTTGGATTTATTTGAAAAATCAACACAATGGAGCCTCACTTAACTTCAACACATTGGAATCCCACAAAACAACAACACATTGGAGTCCCACTTAACTTAAACACATTGGAGTCACACTAAACAACAACGCATTGGAGTCCCACTAAACAACAACACATTGGAGTCACACTAAACAACAACGCATTGAAGTCGCACTAAACAACAACGCATTGGAGTCACACTAAACAACAACGCATTGGAGTCCCTCAAAACAACAACGCATTGAAGTCCCACTAAACAACAACACATTGGAGTCCCACTAAACAACAACGTATTGGAGTCCCACTAAACAACACATTGAAGTCCCACTTAACAACAACGCATTGAAGTCACACTAAACAACAACACATTGGAGTCCTACTTAACAACAACGCATTGGAGTCCCTCAAAACAACAACGCATTGGAGTCCCACTAAACAACAACACATTGGAGTCCCACTAAACAACAACGCATTGGAGTCACACTAAACAACAACGCATTGAAGTCACACTAAACAACAACACATTGGAGTCCCTCAAAACAACAACGCATTGGAGTCCCACTAAACAACAACGCATTGGAGGGTCAAAAATAACAAAACATTGGAGTCCCACTTAACAACAACAGATTGGAGTCCCACTAAACAACAACGTATTGGAGACCCACTAAACAACACATTGAAGTCCCACTTAACAACAACGCATTGGAGGCACACTAAACAACAACGCATTGGAGTCACACTAAACAACAACGCATTGGAGTCTCAAAAATAACAAAACATTGGAGTCCCACTTAAAAACAACACATTGGAGTCCCAATAAACAACAACACATTGGAGTCCCACTAAACAACAACACATTGGAGCCCCACTTAACAACAACACATTGGAGTCCCACTAAACAACAACACATTGGAGTCCCACTAAACAACAACACATTGGAGTCCCACTAAACAACAACACATTGGAGTCCCACTAAACAACAATACATTGGAGTCCCACTAAACAACAACACATTGGAGCCCCACTAAACAACAACACATTGGAGTCCAACTAAACAACAACACATTGGAGTCCCACTAAACAACAACACATTGTAGTCTCAATAAACAACAACACATTGGAGTCCACTTAACAACAACACATTGGAGCCCTACTAAACAACAACACATTGGAGTCCTACTTAACTTCAAAACATTGGACTCCCACTAAACAACAACGCATTGGAGTCCCATTAAACAACAACACATTGGAGTCCCACTAAACTTCAAAACATTGGAGTCCCACTTAACTTCAACACAGTGGAGCCCCACTAAACAACAACACATTGGAGCCCCTCAAAACCAAAAAACGCATTGGAGTACCACTAAACAACAACACATCGGAGTCCTACTTAACAACAACACATTGGAGTCCCACTTAACAACAACACATTGGAGTCCAACTAAACAACAGCACATCGGAGTCCCACTAAACAACAACACATTGGAGTCCCAATAAACAACAACACATTGGAGTCCAACTAAACAACAACACATCGGAGTCCCACTAAACAACAACACATTGGAGTCCCACTAAACAACAACACAAAGGAGTCACACTAAACTACAACACAATGGAGTCCCACTAAACAACAACACATTGGAGTCCCACTTAACAACACCACATTAGTGTCTCAATATTATCTTTTTTCTGACTTAAGATAAATACAGTGGAGCGTAGTTAACTCAACACAGTGGAACCACAATATTACCTTCGTTCTCAAAAAGTTTCTGGCCTGTCACACTACTGGATTACTAGGACTATTTTGAAAATGATATAAAATAGTATTATCATAATTGGAAAGACCGAAAAGATGTAAAGAGGCAGGACAAATCGATTTGAAAAGTAATGATTTCTGACCGCATGTGGCACCTTTCCTGATGCCTCCCGTCAAATCCAGCAAAGGATAACCAACGATCAACGATACAGTAAACAAGTCGTTATCCCTAAAGATATCCTTTCATAGTTAGAAATATTCAAAACCAATTCCATGGTAGATAGAAGATTACATGTAGGAAACGCTGATTTCGTCTATTGGACCAGTGTATTTTAAACATGGACCCTTCCCTTTGTTTTAAGAAGTCGAAATATCAGTATTTGTCACTCAGGTAACTTAGAAATATGTTATGATATTCAAACCGATCACTTACATACAGATAAACGGTCCTTCATTAGATTATATCAAACACATTAACTTCACACACCACAGGTCAGTTTGCGAGCTGAATACCTCATTTTAGATTTATATAAATACATAGCTTACTGTGCGTTACTCAGCAGATTTTACACAAAGATTCCCTTGTTATCTGCTTTTAGAAAGCCCCCATATTGCTACAACCCGCCTTATCCATTAACACTTACGTTATTAAAATATAAATAGTCTCCTCTGTTCAACGTTACAATAGAAGTTAAACCACCGTTTCCATTGATTAATTAATTGGCTCACTTGTATTCCATTTCCTTTGGAATAGGTCATGTGTCATTAATTTCAATCAATATATGATTGTAGTAACAATTCTAGGACTTCTGGGCATGCGCATCCTCGAGACAATACTTTAAAAACTGTTAAGACTATCGTGTGTTTCCATGAAATAGGTGCGGATTGTTGTATTCAGTTGACGTTCAATCGTTGCTATGAAAATTTAATTATCCTCTATTGAATTTTTCTTCAAGTTTTAGATAAATGTTTGCATATCGCTTAAAATCGTTTATGAATCATTTCAATCCGTATCATTCAATACAGAAATAACGCACGTCCTATTTAACAACTTACAGAAGAAATGGCGTTCATACTGCTATATTTACATTTGCCCCCGCGCCGTCCCATTACAACAGTGTTAGAGGGCAAGTGTAATTATAAAGGCTATGATTACAACTGCTCGACTATAATTACAACTGCCTGTTTCAGGTGTAGGAATATGTAAACAAACAAAATGGCCGCCTGAAATGTATTTTGAGGCAGGGCAAATGGTTTTTGTAGGAATATGTCTTAAAAAAGAAAAATATGTAAATATAAAAAATACCTGGTTGTCTGGATGTAATTATTGTTGATATAATTACAAGTGGCCTCTGGCNACTGATTATCAAAAATATAACGTTGATGTTCCTTCTTCCTCTTTGCATAAAATATGACCACCCCAAGAAGCAAAGGAGTCATATTTGCCCTGAGTATAGACACTTTAATACCACAATCACAAGGTATACTTATATGTACATTACTAACAACTGTACATTTTGAAGTAAATATACATATTGAACGTTAATTGTTCATGCCGCTTTTAACGCAATTTGATTACACAATTTGCCCTTTGCCCTATCGAGCGTGATGCTGTGATTTGTGATGGTAACACGAAGGTGTACTCACCAATGGTGTAATTGTCATAGAGGACAGCAGAGCAGGCCTGGCTAAGACTGCAGCACACCTGGATCAGAAGTAAAAACACTCTCATCTTACACTTCAGCATCATCCTCTCAGCTAAAGAAAGTCGCCCTGTACTGGTACATAAAGCCAAAAACTAAACCTCCAGGACACGGTCAAGAACATGTGTCGGAATTGTGTCGGACAGTTACTTATTTCTTACGTTTGTAACAATGTCATTCCGTTTACAATGGTTCACCTGTACAAAATACAACAACTTCCTCAAAACACGCACAGTATTACTTGAACACAGCAGCGATATTTCAACAACTTCTTTATCGAAAATTGTTCGACTTCCTTGGAAGACTTTCATCAGTATAGAATATAACTACTTTCCGGAGCACAACAGCGACATTTTCTGAGCTTCTAGCGATACAGATTATAACAACTATCCCCGAAAACAGTTTGTCCTTAAAAAAGTTCACATCGGTCAAGAATAAAATTCATTTCCCCAGCAATTGTAGCCTGTGTAAGGTTTCGTCAAAACACTGTAGCGGCCTTCTTAAGCTTACAAACCTAATTAAATTTCCTGCGAATATGACTTCCTTATTTGAACAGTTTGCTCAAATTAAATCAGTAAACTCATAACGCGTTTTTTTTTATCTGGTTCGAAACGCCGTGCATTCATCTATTGGCAAACTCACTCTACGCCGCTTTGTTTTATCTTTTCAATATAAACAGAATTCGATAAAGTCCCCTAACTCGACTGGCTCTAGCGTAAGTTGGTAGCGTGCTTGATTGATGTTCAATAGACCTATGGGATATGATTGAGCGGGTGGCTGTGGCCGGGTTACATTGGATCACGCACCTGGTGTTAGTGTTTGGGAGTACCAGTGTTTCTCCTGAGACGCGCGCGCGCGACAGTGGTGGCTATTGATTTATTTGATGCTTTTGATTACCAATACGATGATGAATATGATATAAAAGAACGCACAAATATGGACAATTATGTAAATACTCTGATGATCCCGATGGAAGTTTTACATTTTTCAGTGCTAATGGTACCAGTCTTATTGACTATCTTTTAGTGGAGGGTGAGAACTTTTCGTAACATAATACAATAAATACAGGTACATTTGAAACTATGTCTGATCACTCGCCTGTAATTTTTAAATGTTAGCTTTCTTTAAGCTTGGATGATGATTTGTGTGAAAATGAATGATGATAATGTAAATTCTATCAAACAGAATTTGAATGATAATAACGAAGTACTGAGTGAATTATTCTGCTCGCCTTTATTGATTAATTCAGATGCAGAGGTATGCATTCACAAACTCAGTTCATTTATGAATGAAATGATTTTGCCAATGTGCGATGTACATAGTTCTAAACCATCTCATGATACAAAACGTCATAACAGCAAAGCTATTGCGGATGAGGATAAACCTTGGTTTAATCTCACATGTAGACATAGGTACAATGCTTACAAAGCTGCTTTACACTCATTCAATATTAATAAAACTGTCGAAAATCATCAAATATTAACAGAGAAAAAAACTAATTACAAAAAAATTGAATCGAGACTCAAGAGGGAATATCGGAGACAGGAAGGTGATATGATGGATTATCTGCGTAGACACAATCCGAAACATTTCCATAAATACTTTGCAAGACGAAAATCTAAAGTATCCAACAGAATTTCTCTTGACAAATTTTTTAACCATTTTAAACACCTAAGTAATCAAGTAAATATAATAGATGACACAAATGACTCAAATGCTGATGTAGATATTGAAAGTAATGAATCTTGTATATTTGATGAATTGGATAAAGAAATTACCGAACATGAAGTGACTTCTGCAATACATAAGTTGAAAAGAAATAAAAGTTGTGGTGAGGATAAAATATTAAACGAATTATTCATTGATTGCAAAGAGATACTAGTACCATACATAACTAAATTTTTTAACTCAGTTTTTCAAGCAGGACTTTTCCCAGAATCTTGGTCAACTGGGTGTATCACGCCAGTATATAAAAAAGGTGATATTGAAAACACGAATAATTATAGAGGTATTACTTTAGTTAGTTGTATGGGAAAGTTGTTTACATCAATATTGAATTGGCGATTAGTGAAATGGGACACCGAAAATAATATTATAACGGATGCCCAATTTGGTTTTAGGCCTGGATACTCGACTGTTGATGCAATATTTGTCCTTCAGACATTAATTAATAAGTATTTAAGCAAAAGAGGTGGCAGACTATATTGTTGCTTTGTAGATTATAAGAAGGCCTTCGACCTAATTGAAAGATCTCATTTGTGGTGTAAATTGATAAATCAGGGTATACGCGGGAAAATGTTACGAATCATACAATCTTTATATAACTCAGTGAAATCATGTGTAAAGCATAATGGGGGTTATTCTGACTATTTCACAAATACGATTGGTCTTTTTCAGGGTGAAATATTATCACCGATTTTGTACTCCATGTACGTGAACGATTGTGAAATACATTTTATCAAGGAAGGATGTCCTTCAATTGAACTTAATTTGATTAATATTTTTCTGTTGATGTACGCTGACGATATGGTTTTATTTGCAGAAACACCAGAAAAACTACAGGAAGTTATGGATGCTCTGAAAGTATATAATAACAAGTATAAGCTTACATTAAATACAGAAAAGACGAAAATAGTAGTTTTCAGGAATGGTGGCATAATACGGAATAACGAAAAGTGGATATATGATAACATAGAGCTGCAAGTTGTTAATCAGTTCAATTACTTAGGAATGCTTTTCAATTATAATGGTAAATTTAATGTTACACAAAAACACGTTGCAGAACAAGCAAATAAGGCGTATTATGCAATTTGTAGCAAATTGAAAAATCATAATTTTAATATTGAAACACAATGTGCAGTTTTTGATACATATATAAATAGCATTTTGAGCTACAGTGCAGAGATATGGGGATTTCATAATGCTTTAGATGTCGAGAAAATACATATGAATTTTTGTAAACGGCTACTCGGAGTTAAAAAGAGTACCTGTAATAATTTAGTATATTATGAGTTAGGAAGAATGCCACTGGCGGAAAGTAGAAAGCTTCGTATCATTAAATATTGGTTAAAATTAAGAACTACAGATAATTGTATTTTAAAAACTTGTTATGAAGAAAGGATTTTGTCGAATGACAGTTGGATTATAAATATCCAGGGGGAACTTCGCAAATTAGGTTTAGGTTATTTATGGGACATCAATGGTAACACTACTGATAGACATATTTATAAAATAATTGAACAACGGTTTTACGATATATATCAGCAAAACTTATTATCTAACATTCAAACTATTTCTAGAGGTTTTCTTTATCAACATCTTATTGACAAATTTACCCTGCAATACTATTTGAGAAAACCTATCAATAATTTATACAAAAAATACTTAACACGTTTTAGATTAAGCTCACATAGTTTAAATATTGAGCAAGGCAGGTACAGAAATCAACCAAGAGAACAACGACTTTGTACATTCTGTAACGCTAATGATGTTGAAGATGAATTCCATTTTATACTTAAATGCAAATTTTATGAGGATTTTAGGCATGAATATATTAAACCTTATTTTTACAAACGACCAAGTGTTTTCAAGTTAATAGAACTGTTCAATACCAAAATCGTTAAAGATCTAAATAACCTAGGCAAATTTTTGCATTTAAGTACAAAACGACGAAATAATATTGTTTAACTAAATATAATACTGCATGTTCTGTATGTTATACCCACATACAGGTATATTGTGTTTTAATAATCTATGTTATGCATTGTACACTATTGCATCAACTGTAATTTGTGTTATACATTGTGATATCTTGTACATATGTATGTCTACTCTCCGATGTGTTGTAAACATAAGGAAATAAAGAATCTGAAGAATCTGATCTGCCTTAAACTTTGTAAGCACGTTGATCATCAATCCTTAACCATAGAACTTTAAAGTGGGTATTTCATTGTGATAGCTCAATTTCGCTTGAAATGAGTATTATCATGCCACTACACATCAGTAAAGACATATCATATTACCATGTTATATGATATGCATTTGCTATATGACAATTGATTTGGTGTCGTCCAGTTAATAACTAAGACGTAAAATGTAATATTGAAGATTCGTGATTAAATGTTTTTAAGATCTAAACGTAGTTCTGATTTTCGTTATTCCGTTAGATAACCTAGTTAATAATCTAGTATCACAAGGTTAGTAGTGTTATCATCATGCTGACAAAAAAATGAAACCATGTACATGTTTATATAAATACTTAACCAAATGCAATTCGTGTAATTCAAAATGCGCTACGTATTCATAACGACAAAAAATCTGTACAAAAACCTCATGCATACGTATGGGAAATGAATCCTTAATATGGCTTAAACGTTTCATCGATCAGGCTGTATTGATTTGAGAATAATTAAACTAACGTACCCTTTATCATATCTACGGTAAGTCAAGCTTACCTGTTTTCCAGAGATTTCAGAGATTTTTATTATCACTCAGGCACACTATTGTGCGCAACAAGAGGTCATCATAAAGTACAATATAACAATGATATGGTTGACCGTAAAGCACTTATCTTACTATGCTAGCGTACATTAATATAGTGGAAACTATTACACTCCTCATACAATGAGAAACACAATATTACACTGTACTAGCATACCTTATTATAATAGACAGTATAACGCACTGATCATACAATGACACTCATCATACACTGTGATATACATTATTACCCTCATTTTACAATACTATTACGATGGTATAATACATAGCATTACATTCACACATACCGTGTGTTCACACTCTGGTATAGCAGGCACTGTTGCATCCATCTTACAGTACAATCCTACAATGATATTATTACAGTATTACACATATATTACTCGCACTCCATGATACATATATTATAGATAGTATACCACACCATACAGTGCAATCATACCATGGCATAATAGTGACTATAATACTCATCATACCATATAATATTACCAAGGTATAATAGACAGTGTTACAATCTTATCATACAATACTGTAATAGACGGATAACAAACAAACCATGATAAGCAAGATGTAACCACACTCATTATGCAATACAATTATGTTAGGTTTAGCAAATGATCAGTAATATCTATATGTATACAAAAGTTAACAGTTTGATGTGTGAAATTCACACATTAATTTTTAATTGTCTTTCTAGTAATTGTATGAACAGCGATAGTTTTGATAATATTCTAACATTACATATTGATATTAATCCTTTCATTTTAAGAACAGATGGATTAGAGGTGTAATAAATAGGTATATATTTTCTGCGGATTTGACTTACATAAGCATTTGAACATATAAACAAATAATGATACCCGCTTCCAACTCCAGTAAAACAAAGCGGACAGATTCTGCCTTCACGTGGTGTTCTAGTCCATCGCCCAGTCTCTATAGGCAGAAATATATTACTGGTTCTGAACTTACAGATAGTTATTCTATCTATTTGTTTGAGCATAGTTAAGTATTTTTCAAACTGAAATTGATGTTTAAATATTGCATATGTTTGACCCCGG